TTTTTTTAAACATGGACAAAAAGACTTTGAAAAAAATCGCAGGACCAAACTTTTTTTTTTCTTCCATCGGCAGGCCAGCCGGAGGTTAAGCAGAAGTCGGACGACAGTGCCTGATTCTTGAATAATATTAGGGAAGTTTTTGGTTATGGAAGGAGCCCTCTCGAGGGGCAGCGGTTTGCTTTACGAAGTGGCGTGTTTTTTCCTTCCGTGCCCGAGGACAAGACAATCGCCCCCAGCGAGAATAGAAAAATGGCAGGCCTAGTTTTGAAGGAATCAAGAGGTACTTCCAAGTGCCTTGGACCAATGGGGCTGTCGGGTCTCTTCCCGCGCTGCCAGGCCGGGCGAGTTCTCTCCGTGATCTTCTGCGGCCAAATGTTCCTGAATCCTAAATGGAGGGCTAATGAAACACGATTTTGGAAAATGGATATATATATATACATATATATACCGTGTTTCCCCGAAAATAAGACAGGGTCTTATATTAATTTTTGCTCCAAAAAACACATTAGGGCTTATTTTCAGGGATGCTTTATTTTTTTTTTTCATATACAAACATCTACGGCACATTGATTCAAAGACAGTCCTGTCCTCTTCTTCTGGTTGCTGCACAAGGGTGGAAGATGGGGTTTCACTTGACTAGGGCTTATTTTGGGGGTAGGGCTTCTTTGATGAGCATCCCGAAAAATCCTACTAGGGCTTATTTTGAGGTTAGGTCTTATTTTCGGGGAAACAGGGTATATATATTTCCCTGTGTTTTGCAAAAGGAAAAACAAACAGGGGTCTGGGACTGGGGGAAAGGCTGATCACACTGCCTCCGGAAATGGACTTGAATTCTTATTTTTCCACCCTGACTCTCCCGGGGACCTCCCGACGTTTCCGACGCAGGAGCCTCTTGAGCGTGTGTGCGTGTGTGTGGCTGGACAGTGCGGCGGGAGAAGGTGTTGGCCTTTGGAGGGACAAGCCCCCCAGTATGCAACTGATATCTGTGTATGTATATATATTTATATCACTGTCTGTCTATACAAAAAACAGCACAGAAGAAGACGACGACCCGGTGCAGCCAAAGATCCGACTGGATCCTTTTAAAACTGATCTCCCCACCGGGACTGCCTTTGCCCCCCCCCGTGCCCTCTCCTCCCCACCTCCCCTCTTTCATGGCCGCCAGATACAAAAGAACCATGCTGGGGTCAGGCAGGACCCCATGGTTGGGTCTGGGCCCCAAGCAGAGGGGGCCGCCTTGGGTTGGATTGCTGCTCGGAGGGAGACGGCTCCGAGGTAGGCTGCCCTTGGCTGTAGAGGTTCTGATCAGCTGCCGTGGCAAAAGGCGTTCCCTCCTACGTGTGTCCCGTTTTTATGAACAATCACCCTTCCTTCCTCCCTTCTTTGCTTTCATCCATTCATCATTAGCTCCTTCCTTCCTTTCATCCTTCCTTCTTTTCTTTCAAAAATTTCTTCTATCCATCATCAAGCCCTTCTTTCATTCCTTCCATCTATTCATCAGCTCCCTTCCTTCTTTCCTTCCATCCATCCATCTGTTCATCCTCAGCTCCTACCTTCTATCCGTCATCAATCCCTTCCTTCCTTCCTTCCTTCCTTCCTTCCTTCCTTCCATCCATCCATCCATCCATCCATCCATCCATCCATCCATCCATCCATCCATCCATCCATCCATCCATCCATCCATCCTCAGCTCCTTCCTTCGATCCGTCATCAATCCCTTCCTTCCATCCATCCATAGCTCCTTCCTTCCTTCCTCCCATCCCATCCCAAAGCCAGCTGGGCGACGGGACCACGAACAGAACAGGCGCCTTCGCCATAGTTCTCTTGTGCCAAACCCCTTTCCCTTCGAGCATTCTTGCTAGCGTGACAGCCTTAAAACCCTCCCCTCCCTACACAGGCCACGTTAACGTCCTAGAGAAGCCCTTAACCCTCCCCCCCCCACCATCTATTAACCTGCATCCCCAGACTTTGGTATTTTTTTGGGGGGAAGTCTCCGTTGTCTCCCTCACCTTCTTCTCCCTCCCCCCCGGCTCGCCGTCTCCAGCCATCTGTGTTTCCTGAATCCATCTCCGATTCAAAGCACACGGAAAACCCAGCAATTCGTGTTGCAGCGCCGAGGTCCGACACGCCAGGGGCCACCTTTTGACCAAAAAAGAGGGAGAGGGACCTTGATAAAATGAGGATGATGCTACACGTAGTCTCTTGCGGACTGACTCTGAAATATGCCAGAATTTGATTATATACTTAAAACATTCCTGTTATGGTGTGTGTGTCTGTGTGTTTGTGAGTGAGAAAAGAGTGCCATCAGCTGCGTTGCCAAGAGTCAGAAACCTTTATATGGGTCAGCTTTTCCCAACACCGGCCATGGGTCGCTTTGACCTTATCTGACCCCAGTGGATTCTCAGCGGTTCTCGGAAAGGGGGGCGCTGGGATTTGAACCCAGGACATGCTGGGAAGAAGAATCACAGCTCCATTTGGCGGCTCTCCAGCTTTGGGGCTAAAGGAGACCTTTTTTGAAAACGAGAGTCTGGGACAAGAGGAGGGGCTCAGCCCATCCCGTTAGGATTTTCAGCTAACGAGATTCTATTTTCTGGGGTGGGGGAAGAACTCGAGGGGGGGAGCATTTTTAAGAAGGTAGGGTCTTGGCTTACAGATGGTTAGTGGGAGGGAAGCATAAAAGTGGGAGAACAAAAGCCTGTCTCCCTTTCCCTGATAGTTTTATTTAAAAGCACAGTGATGTCTAAAATTGTTGCTATAAAAGCAGGCTTTACCAGATTCCCCCAAAACCCAGGATTTCGAATGATTCCATGACGGAAAAATAAAAGAGAGAGAGAGAGAGAGAGCAAACCCAGGATTTCGAATGATTCCATGATGGAAAAATAAAAGAGAGAGAGAAAGAGAGGGATTGCCTGTGACGTCCATTTTCCTTTGATTCCAAGATGAGGATTGCCTGCGACGTCCATTTTCCTTTGATTCCAAGATGATCGGGTTCTAAAAATTTGATTTTGACAAGCAAGTTTCCAGTCCTCATGGCATGTTCAGACATTGGTGAGTGATTGTGCCATAAAAAATCTAAGGGTCGAATTCGCTGGGCTTGGATGTGATCTTCCTGCTCTCGGGTGTAGCAAATCAGAATAACATTATGCAAAATAGCATATTTTTAAAAGGGCAGAATAACCTATGCAAATATATAGATATTTGGGGACAATGCCATGATGACTCCCTCTCGGCTTGCGTTATAAATTTACATTTTGCTTCATTTTTCTTGCCCGTTCGACCCCACCCTGGCCCAGGTTTTGGTGCAGAGATTAGAATCTCAGTGAAGTTTGATCTCTGGCTGTGGAGCCAGAGGTTGGGAGTTTGAATCCTCCACGGGGCTGATGGGTGTTGTAGTCTGGAGTCATCTGAACTCTAAAGGATGACGCTTGTCATCCCATACGCCTGCACCGGTTAAGTCCTACCAAACTCAACTTCACCACGGGCATATTTTTTGCCAGAGGGATTTAGTGAGGAAAATTTTCAAGTTACTAGTTCTCACTGAGGACAGCTGTTCCCAGCCCTGTTTTCCTCCCCCGTGGCTCCATTTTTAAGTGTTCAGGGTTCTTTCCGGAGCGGCCGCCCGCCAGGGGAAAGGCAGACCCAGCAAGAGGAAGCTACAAGCAGCGTATGGAAGGGTGTGAGTGACTTTTGTGAGGTTGTGGCTCTTTCTTTCCTTCTGAAGTCCACGTTTACAAACTGTAAATACAGGTGTTTTTTTTTATACCTAACTGTCAATTCTGTACGTGACAATTTGTATGATGTTATTCTATTTCTGCTATGGAGTAATTTCAATGATGGCTGAACCTTAATTTTGAACTTGAAAAAGAAACATATAATATATATATAAATATATATATATATAAATATAAATATATATATATACACCTACCTATCTTTCCCTTCTCCCGTCCCCACCTCTGTCTTCTCTTCACCTTAAAAGGACTTTTAAAATATTAAATTGAGTGAGAGGAAGAGGATAACAGGATTCTTCCTGCCCTTCCCGTCCCCACTCGTTTCCCTTCCTCCTCGAATTCTTGATGCGACCGCTCCACATTTTTGCAGGTGAAATCTGCTAGTTGACATTTGTGTCCAGCTCCTTCCTGTGGTCTTCAGGCTCTTACCTGAGTTTTCTTGAATAAATCTGAATTTATTTGAATAAATCCCGACTGAAACCGAGTGGGCTTTGATTGACTTCTGCCGGAAGAGATATTTTAGCATCTTGAATTCTTAAGGATTTATTGGCTGGAGAGCACAGGGTTTGAGGTCCCTGGCATTGGAGCCGGAGGTTGGGAGTTCGAATTCTGCACTGTGTGCCTCCTGGGAGAAGAGCCAGCTTGTGTGGCCTCGAGCAAAATCTGCACTGTCCCAGAATTTTGTTTTTGTTTTTATGTTTTGATTTTTATTAATCTGTTGACTGTATTGTATCTTGTATTAATTTTGTGCACTTTGTATTCTTCTTTTCTGACATGAAGGCGTGCCCCCCCCCCCAGCGGGGGTCCGCAGAACATCCGAGTGATTACGGGTAGAGGGAGGTATAGCGATGGCACATTCCCTACTCGTGCCAGGAGAACAGTGAACAGATGTTTGAAAGCTGTTCACTGTTCTGAGTCTGTGACCAACTGCCAGTCCCGAGGTAGGCGGATCAGCCGGCCCTCCACTCTAAAAATGGTGCTGTTAAATGCCAGGTCTGTGTCCAATAAATCCCAGATTATTCAAGATCTTATTCTGGAGGAGGATGCAGACCTGGCGTGCATGACCGAGACTTGGATGAGCGGGGAAGGGGAGTACCCCTGACCCTGGCCTGTCCTCCCGGTTATGCAG